ATTTTATATAAATATTTTTATATTTATGCGCTATATGCATATACATACGTATACGTATTCGGGTTTAAATTTACTCTAATTTTTTATTCTAATATATACATTTACAATAAAATATATTATGAAAATTGATTATATTAACAAGAATTGATAATTCAATTTAATAGGTTAAAAATCAAAATTTAAAATTTCTTTAAATTTAATTCAATAAAAGATAATATTAATCTAGCAATTATAATGCTCAATGGAAAAATACAAAAAGCAAACACAAAATTGTAAAGTATTTAAAGTAGGTTAGAATAATATTTTAAGCCTATCTATTTACCTTAAACATTCAAATTGACAAATTATATATACACCCTTAAAATATTACATTTAGAATAATAATATTTTAAGTTTATATTGCAAAATATACCTAAAATTTAGTCATTAAAAATCAAAGCATATTTTAAGTATATTTGATTACATTGCTTTTGATTATAAAAAATTTTTTGAATATATTTTTATAATATTTTGAGTATTATAACATACAATTTGAATAAACAATTTTTGCTAAATTTCAAATATCAATAATATTTTAAGTTTATTTTAAAGAATTCACTGATATTTTAAGTATATTTTAAGCACAAATTAAGCATGCACACTTCTTATAGGTTGGCTATTGTTCTATTGTTGTTGAATGCACCCAGAGTATTAATTCTTACTGAAAATTTGTTTGTCTTTTTCGTATTAAATTGTAATAAATCTTGTGGGGTCTTCTTGCAATTTTTTTTCTCTTCCCCTTTCTTCTTCAAACTAGAAAACTGAGTCTAACCACCTATCTGGATACCTTTTGAGCTTAGGTAGTGTTAATGTATTTCTTGGACAACCTTACACCATTATTACTTTTTTATATAACATAATTATACATACTGTACTGTATATAAAATCATCGATTGTTACCACATATAAACTTTTATTTTATGAGTGAATATTAAAAATCATACTAATTAACCTCAAATATAAGAATGAATTGCATATTATATAAAAAGAACAGTCTAAAATTGAGTGAATATTTGTCATTTTAAATTTCTCATCTGTTTGAACTTTAATCACTGACCATTCTCCCAATTTTGTTATTATAAGTCTGTCCTTTTATATAATATGTAATTCATTCTTATCTTTAAGATTACTTAACTCTGTTTTTGACATTTACACATACCAGTACAATACATGTTCCCAAAATTGATTTTTGATTTTTGGGATATTTTGTTTTTTTGAGATTCACACAGAATTTATTTTATATATGGAAGTAAAAAAAATACCTAGTTAAGTATATCTTTATCAAAGAATTTATCTGGGTAGTTAAAAAATTTTGGGTTTTAAGTAAAATAATTTCATCTTCTATGAAGAACTATTTCAACTTTTTTCTCCAAAATTGCAATTTCGGAACCCCAAAATAATTTTGCATACAAGTATAACCAGTACGATCACATTGAATGTGTAACATGAAATGTATATAGATTGATGTATTAGTGAACACTTTCACCTATCAGTCTTAGATTTTGTCTCACACAAACTAATTTTTTTAATACTCTATATATGCCAGTAGGTCAAGCAATCTGTTGATCTAAACTTGTCTATCTCGAAACAGATTATAAATATAATATAATTCTTTTTAATTCTTTTTAATTCTTTATTTTTAATCTGAGGCTCAGTGAGTAAGGTGGAGTAAAAGTGTTAATGCATTATCAAATAGTATTTAATAATATTTTGCAATATTGCAACACAAAAGATAAGTTTATTAAAATATAAAGGTACAAATTTAAAAGTAAAGTATCATTTAACAACAAAAATATTACAGGCTATGTGTCTATTTTACCATCCTTTACTTTTCTATCTAATAATAATAATATTCAAAACTATCTGTAATTATTAATTAACTGAAGTCTAAGAAACTACTAAGACTACTGTTTTCCATCTCCAACGACCACTTCTTTTATACTTTTTCACCTTCATTCAAATTTTACCTGTCATCCTTTGCACTTCATCCTTCATTCTTGTATTCATCCTGTGTCCTCATACATTATCTTTCAAATGACAACACAAGTTATTATCCTCATACAATTATCTTTAGTGTTACCATTTACTATCCCCATGACAATCCACATGCTTGCGAAATTACTTGCCACAGTAATGACGATGAATGCTATAGTTTCATATTTTTTTGAAATATTTAGTAAAGGAACCAGACCATAACCATAGTGCCAAGTTGCTACATCAAGCTTTAAAGTTATGAGATACACTTTGCAGTATGATCAATTTGTTCCTTTGACAATCTTCATTTATTTTGTAACCTTATTTAATGTTTTTGATTGGAGAAATCGATAATAATTAATTGTGGAAATGGTTAAATATTGTTCTGTAAAAACTTGTTTGTGTTACTATTTGTTCATTTGGATGTATTATAATTACGCAATTGATATTAAGAATTTTTAAGAAAAAATAATAACATAAGATTTACAAGTAACGATTAATGTAAATGTCTGGATTTTAAATTTTTTTTAAAAATAAAATAATTCTTACATCCTTGTATCCATTTCTCTGATTTTGTAGAAAGAAGAACCTGCATACCCACAATTTCAGCTTCATAGAAGTAAAAGGGAGAAGTAAATTGTTTTTGGATTCTTTTTTAATAAAAAAAAATAATGGCAATAAATAGTTACGTCCTTATGATCCATTTTGCTAACTCCAGCAATTTCTCCGGTTTTGTAAAAGAAGAACCTATGTACCCACAATTACAGCTTCACAGAATTAAGGATAGAAAGAAAGTAAAGAAAAAAGATGAATAAATAATTTTTTTAATAAAAAAGAATAATAAATACTTATATCCTTACGCTCATTTTGCTAATTTCATGAATGAAGAACCTATGTACCCATGATTTAATAAATTTGATTTAAAAATTTTATTTAATAAAAAAATATATACTTACATCCTTACATCCGTTTTGCCATTTTACCAATTTCGTAAAGAAAAACCTGTGTGTCCATAATTACAGCTCCATGGAAGTAAAGGGAATAAGGAAGGTGAAGAAAAAAAGGTAAGCAAATTTGATTTTAAATTTTTTTTTTTTAAGGAAAAAAATAAGTACTTAAATCCTTACGTCCTTACGTCCATTTTATTGATTTCACTGATTTCATAAATGAAAAAACTATATGTCCACGACTTTAACTCAGGGAGGTAAAGGGAAGAAAAGAAGTGAAGAAAAAAGGTGAGTAAATTTGGTTTTAAATTTTTATTTTTTTTTAGTAAAAAAAAATAAAAACAATAAATATTTAAGTATGCCTATTTTGCCGATTTCGTAAAAAGAGAACCTAATTTCAGCTTTACATGGTTAATTTATTATTTAGATAAAAAATATTCTATCATCTAAAAAAATATTATTTTAGACAATTTAGATGATTTAATATTTAATCGTCTAAAAAAAATATAATTTTTAGATGATTAATTATTTATTGTCTAAATCGTCTAAAAATCATCTAAAAATTATATTTTTTAGATTATTTAATATTTTAATAATAAATCCTCAAAAAAAAATTATTTTTTTTGATGATTTTAGACGATCAAATATTAAATCGTCTAAAAAAATATTTTTAAGACGATATCATCTAAAATAATATTTTTTTAGGTGATTTAATAGATTCAATAATAATAATTATTAAACTGTCTAAAAATAATATTTAGACAATCGAACGCACGTAATTTAGTAGACACTAGAAAAATAGATTATTATATTTTATATTATTTATATTCTGTTTATGTTTAACATTATGCGTTTATAAAATACTATTTTATTTAATAAAAATTTAATACGAAATATATTCGAAAATAGTAATTATTGCATATTAATAACACATTAATTAACGCAACCAAATTGTATATATAAACTTATTTAAATATGAAATACATAATTGATATTTATTGTATCCCATGATATATTCCAGAGACACTTTTTCACATATAACTTTTCACTCACACAAATAAAAAGAAATGAATATTTTTTATTAATTTAACTAACATGCAAAAAAAAATAATGAAATGATACATCTTGTTCCTATCGATCAACTGAAAATAGTACCGAAATAACAAAAATAAATACCTAGTTTACAAATACTTAGATGCTAAACTATTATACCATCCTGATCTGGATGAACGTGAGTGCGAAATCATACTGACCTTGCACAAACATTACATGTTACGCGGCTATTTTTAATTAAAATAAAAAGTTTTATATGTAGTAACGATCGTTAATAATTTAATTGCAAGTATTTTCTAAAGTCGCATAATTAATGGGATTGTCAAAGGAACATACCTCATAACTTTAAATAGACCCTTTACTAATTGGAAAACAAAAAATGATTTTTCTTTATAAAATTATCTATACAAAAATAATATCCACTACGTATTCTAATTATATAACTAGAATAAAAATAATAGTGTTAAGCAAACTAAATTACTACTACTGTACTCTAAAAAAAAATAAATATTATAAGCAAATAAATAACAATGGCATTTAGAAGCTAATCCAAAAAAAGCACATTTTAGATAATAATTAGGGTAACTGCGCAACATTTGATGTTTACGCAGGACCAGTACGATCTGTGCATTTCAAGTTTTTGATTAGTCTCTGTTAGAGCTCTCTTTAGGTCAGTGCTGGATTTGATTTATTATTATGATGAATATTGTCAAAAAAAATAATAATTATCTAATAATTATTATATTATATTAAAAAAAATTATTAATATTATTTCAATATTAATAACTATTATTATTGAAAAGAGAAATATCATAATACTACATAATTATTAATTTTTTTGATAAATTGTAACTATTAATAGTTTACATAATCACCATTTGAATAATATTGTTTGTTGAACTACTGCCTTACATCTAATTTCATTATAATTATATAATGAAGAATTCAGTTTTATGATTGTATCGAGGATGTCTCAATATACTGGCCCTAAAATTCACTATATTGAGATTTCGGGATGTAATCATTAGCTAATTATTTGTATATGATAGGTTAACATATTTTTTTATATAATCCTTTATTCTATTAATTTTAAAATGGTGTATTGAAAAGAGTTTTGTAACCGATGTGAACCCATGATTTTTCTACCAACAACATTTATATTTTTTAACAATTCAAGAATCACATCACTTGATATTGGCCATTTTTTCTGCACTTGCTCAACTGCAACATTTATATCATTCGGAGTAAGTTTCGAAATCAATTCAACTGATCATTTGAAATTCGTTTGCTTTGCCATTAAGCACGTTCCTGAAGCTACTTTTCTTTTTCGTAATATATCGAACGTAGCAAAAATAAACGAATGGTAATATCTAAATTTAGGATCACAAAGTTGCAATAAATGTTTGACATACTTTTTAAATGGTATATACTGTTTGCAGAAATTATCTTCATAATCACCAATTCTATAAGGAAATAAAGTAGGAAACGCAGCAGGTAAAAGTGTTGGATCCGTATATTCATTTTTGGGTATATTCGAATGCGGCATCAAGATAGTATAAGAAGAATTACTTCATCCATCATCAGCTAATTCTTGAGTCATCTTCTTAAGTGATTACAGAATACGTTCCCGCTTAGAAATGAGAACATTATCAATATACACCAGTCTGCAAAAAGTATCCTGACAGCTGTTTTTTTCAAATCTTTTTAAAAAACTTCAAGGGTGAATTCTGACACAACTAATAATTTAAATTGCACAAACTTTTTTTAAAAGAATCCCCAGATCAAGGGCTATCGTATGATATCTTATTTATTCAAATTGGATGTCTGCTCGTCTTAAAATCTTGTCTTTAATAAATAAATGCTAATAATTTCTTTAATTCTTAATATGTAGATTTCAAACTTTTACCGTATATGTAAAATAATATTATCTTCAAGTTTATTTTGTATCCTTTTTTAAGATTTCATTAGTATAAAATAATATTTTATATGATATATGTAAATAAGATAATTTTCTTTAAACAGTACAGTAAATGATCAACAATAATTTTGATCTTTTTTAGTTGTGTCTATAGTAAAGTTCTGATTTTAACTAGAAAACATGAAATATGATACTAATTAAAGTCGTAGATTTAGTATAGAGCTACAACTTATTATAAAATAGTAAGCACTTCCAGTAGATAATTACTGAAATCTAGAGAGATTACGATTAATAATTTAATTTAATATTTTTGGTTAATTTTATTTAAGACAAGAATTTAAGACGAGCAGACATCTAATTTGAATAAATTAGATATCATACGATATCCCTTGATCTGGGGATTCTTTTAAAAAAAAGTTTGTGCTCTTTAAATTATTCGTTGTGCCAGAATTCACCCTTGAAATTTTTTGAAAATTTGAAAAAAATAGCTGTCCTGATACTTTTGGCAGACTGGTGTATGTCATACCCAAACTTCTCAATTCGGCTGAATCACCAATAGAGTCAATTAATCCAGTCATATCATCTAATTTTTCATTATCCAAATCATCTTTTACATTATTTCTATCAATAAGATCCATTACATATCCAGTATAATATTCTACTTTCTCAAAATTAATGTTGACCATCACAGTCGTTGCTGATAAAGCAGTTGGCACTTCATTTTCTGGTAAAGATTCCAACGTCATTCTATTGAGCTTAACATCTTTATATAGTATGTTATGAATCATCACTTATTTTAAAGTGACAGCAATTTTATTTCTTCTTACACACAATACCCTTTCAATTGTTCTTCTGATGGGTGTCCTTGCCCAACAAATATGACCTTTAAGTGACCACATAATTGGTAAATAGGCAAGGGTAGAACCATATAAAGTGAAGTCAGTTCTTGTGTGAATGTAATTCTGTAACCCTTTAGTTTGTAATGTGTATGCCTTCGATTAGTAAGTTGAATAAGATTTATACAAATATAACCCGCAGAATCAAAAGTTTTTCGTGTATCATTAACCCCTGAAGACATTGTGGAGTCATTCGAATCCACATATTTGCCAGTGAAAACATTGGAGTCTTATCCGCATCTAATTTCACTTACATACTCTAATATTTCACATTCATTATTCATTTTATCTTTAACAAACCCACCTCTATCCAACAAAATTTTATGACTGCTTAAATCTACATATGGATATTCATATGTAAAATAAATTCAAAAAATAGCCTTACAATATCATATATATTGGTTTCAGGCAGTGATAAACATATTTTTTGCATAGAAATTAATCGAATGCTCATATAGATATAAACCAGAACAAGCTGCACAAGGTAACTCCCTAAGTGAATCACAATTAATACTTTTATGAAATACTGCCAACACATTATTCAAACAAACGAAAATCATAATACTGAGATGTCACGAATGCCACAGGAAACGCTGTACGAGGATTGCGGAGGGTTACGAATGTCACGAGAGATGGTAGCAAGATGACAGTGTTACCTGAGGATGAGTATGCTACCATCTAGATGACAGATTTTTCATCCTTGCACAGCATCTTTCATCCTCGTGTGTTATCCTCAGAGAAAAAAGGAGAAAACTTGTTAAAACGTGAAAACAAAAGGAAAAAGAGAACAAATTGGAAGGTATAAAAATAACCAGTGAAAAAAAGAAGAAAGAAAGGAGATTCCTTTTCGCCAAAAAGAACAAGAACCAAAAATAAAAATATTTTACTTGATATTTCGAACAATTTTAATTTGTTTTATTTCTTTTACTTAAATATTTTGAACATTTTAATTTAGTTTTATTTTTACTTTTCATTCGTAATACCTTTTAATAATAATAAATAATATAGTCGCGGGACTAGCGAAGCGATAAGATACGCCAAAGCAGTAATATATCGCTATTGTTATTCTCTTTTATTTCTTTTATATTTTTGTAATAATTTCAAACATAAATTTAGTGTAGCGGAATAACAAAAGTGATAAGATACGCCAAAGCAGTAATATATTGCTTTTGTTATATCCAATATTAAACTTTAATAAACTATTTCTTTTATTTCTTGGCAAGTTACATTAAAAAGTCTACAATAGTTTTGATAGTATGCAAGTAGTTGTTAAAGATACTTTTACTCCACTTGCTCATCGTACCTTCAGATATTACACGTAATTGCATTGTTGAGAGTGTTAATAAGCAGGTTTAGATCGACTGATTGCCTGTCTTGCTGTGTTTTAAGATATTGCACACAAGAGAAAGTGTGTTAGTAGTACATTGAATTATCATGTGATTGACCCAAATTTATTAAGACTGATTGGCTTAACTTTCCACTTGTTCTGCGCAGACCGCGACAATAGTTTCAATTATTCCTCTTTCTACATGTTAAATTTGAATTATTACCTTTTCTATTATATTTATTACTATTGAGATATTTTGAAGATCTGAGACATTTTATTTATATCATTACGGATATTTTTAAATACCATTTGAAAATTCCTTCTGTATTTGGGTTTGGGAATGCTATGTTGATGTGACTATAAATAATTATAACAAATTTTATCCTTATTCTTTTAGTTTTTGGAAGATAGAACATTGATTATTACTATCCACATCACATCACATCTCATCAGTGGAAGCTAGACTAATGGATAATGAAATCAATTAGATAAATTGAAACAATGGGATAATTATAATTATGTTATAAATGCAATGAATATACCGGAAGTATCTTACAGCAGTTCAAAAATATCGAAACTTTAGAATAGATATCACTTATTATATATCTAATCCAATACAGTATATCGATATAAGAAAACCAAAAAGAATAATGAGAAACAGAAATTGTCTCTTTATAAGTGAATTTGATTATAGCGATGATGATAATAACTGTGAAGATGATTATGATGATAATGATGATGACGATGATGATTTTTTAACACGCATATAATATGCGTGCATCAAAATATTTCATGAAGGCAGTTTACTAGTCTCTTACTTATACTATCCTGCATGTTACATGCTCATGACTCTTTATTTGCAGAGTAATGGACAAACACCAGTGTCGAGTACTTCTCGATCAAATCGTTTGATGTTTATTGGATCCAACAAACCTTGCGTTTGCATCAAAGGTCAGCTCGGGTTCATGCTTCTGAGTTAGGCATACTTGCTAGGGAATCAGATCAAAGGATAACGGATAATACACAATCATTACAAAAGCAACTAAAGGTTAGTGTTATTTGAAAGAAAATTGATCCATATTGCAAGGTTTCATGTTACTATGCCCCTCGATGCTTTCGAGGAGGGTTGGATGATTTCTTAACCCGATGGAGAGGAGAAATGTGGCAGTTTCATTTAATATAAATGATTCTTCACGTGTGCGTTTTATTTCACATGCAGATAAAAAAAATTTTAATATTAGAGCTTTCCTAAATCTTTTGTCCTTTTTTTTTAAATAAATTATGCAAAGATTCATAAATTATTTGGGAGAGAAGTGAGGTGATCGCGTCATCACAGATTCATTGACACTCGGCGAAGTATTAGCAAAGGTGACTTATTTATTTTTTAAACTCAAGATCATAATTAGGGTTCTGTTTGTCTTGTTTACTAATAGATTTTCTCCAATTTTTAGGTCAACATTAAGAAAACTCTTATTGATAAGATCAGTGATTCTTAAAGAAAAAGGAATAAGTACTTCTTTGGTACCATACAGTTTTTTTTCAATGAGTTATCTAAATTAATTCTGTTTATATAAAAATCCCTTTCTACAAACTGAAACACGTCATAATATAAATTGTTTGAGGGAAAAAAAGTAAGGTAAGAAGTCGGTTAACATTTTATCGTATCAAACTTGAAAATCTTTTATCATAGAGTGACGATACCAATGGAGAAGCAAGCAATGATAAAATTAATAATAGTATGGAAGAAACTGAGCATGAAGAAATGAATAATCAGTTGTACAATATGGATTGATTTTATTAGAATAACATAATTATTTTATTTTTTTTTCAAATTTTATAACCACATACAAAAATGATGTAGTAAAAAGATATCAATTCTTAATTTATTCAACAATGCCAAGCCCCACATTGTACACAGGAGTCGCGCACACCATAATCACAACTACTAGTACCATTAGCATGGCATTCATAGACATGAGTGACGTTGCAATCTGGGCCACCTGAGAAAAGAAAATAAAAAAAAAAGGTTAAAGGGGTGGCAAAAATGAATCAGAGCATACAAAGACAACTTAGATTTCAATTATTTACCAATTTCACCACCACAGTATTGACCTTGCTCGCTAAATGAAGAGCATACGCAAGCGGTATTATAATTGCATGAGGGGGACGTGCCGTTGTTACAGAAACAAAAATTACCATTAGAAAACCCCATGGCGTTACAGTCTTGACTTGGACAATTACCATCGCCAGCCTGACAATTGGTAGTATCAGACCAACAAACTGCAAGGGAAGGAACAACGGAAACAGAGAGAAAAACCAAAAAGAATAGAATATACTTGAGATACTTGGGTGCCATTTGGATTGAAAACAAAAGAAACTTAATGATTAAAATAAGAAGATCAAAATAAAACTCAGAAATAAGAGAAAGAAGAGAAAAGAAGTAATGGCAAAAAAAGTGAAGAGAAATAGAAGAATATATAAGGAATTCGTTTTTCTTAGGATTTACAAAAAAATATTATGTATATAAAAGCCTTTCTCACGTTTGTTTCTTTATGCCAAGAAAATTCATTCGTGATTTTTAATTAGTCATTAAATACATCATATGATCGCGTCCGAATTTCTTTTTAAAGTTTTTAAACAGCCTAAATGGGGGTGCTTAAAGTACATTATCATCTCTGGGTAACCCTTAATATAGGATATATATTAAGGCTCACACAGAGATGATATACTTTATTGGCTATATATCTTATATACGTATATACAGTTCAACAAACTCCAAGGGAAGGAACAACAAAAACAGAGAGAAAAACCAAAAAGAATAGAAGATACTTGGGAGCCATTTGGATTGAAAACTGAAGAAATGTAACGATTAAATTAAGAAGATCAAAATAAAACTCAGAAAGAAAAGCAGCGTGCAATTCCGGAATAATTGCGAAAAGAGTGAGAAGAAATAGAAGGAATTATGTATTTGAAAGTTTGTTTTTTGACGCCAAGAAAAACAATCATTAAATATATCATGATCGGCGTCCGCATATTGCTCTTTGGTAAAAGAATTCCTTTTTAAAGCTTAAATTTGGCTAAATAGGATACTTGAAAACCGGTGAAGTATATCATCATTTCCGGGTGCCCTTAATATATATCTATATAAGTAACTGTACGATTTGTAAAATGACAACTCCATCTCAAAACTCCATAACCTAAGTTATTATTTGTTTTACTATCTACCTATTTATTAATTAACTTTATTGTCTACTATATTTTAAATCCTTTATCCGTAATAAAAGCTTGTTTACGAATTTCATGTGATACATAATTAATAGAATTTCCTATTCGAATCTAAAACGTGTCTCAACACTTTCAAAAAAAAAGACATTTCATTTCTTGGCATCACGAGTTGTAAGACTCATTAAAACGGAGAAAGATCGGCGTTATACCCGTGTTAATAATTTTGGAATTATACTTATCTTGCGTAGTGGTACTTAAAAAATACGTGTCACCGATGCAGATAAACGGAAATTGGTTTAACATATATGCACGATTGCGGGATTGTCATAACATACAAACAAATAAAAAATAATCTTTAATTGTAAGAAAACAGATATATTAATTTTTTAATTATTGAGGACAGGTGAGGTTAAAGATTTATTAAGAATTATTGGCGAAGCTAGCAATGAAAAATATTTATTCTCTAGTTCGTTAATTATTATTACAAGTGGGTAAAGGGTACGGCAAATTTTTTTTTCGACCTTTTATAAAAAAAACAGACTAGAATTTATTTATAGATTCGGGTGGCAAAAAGCCAGAAGTTATCAGAAGTTTTTGTACTTTATGATGGTGAAATGTGTGTTAATTGGGTCAATGATTGTTCGCTTTCGACATATTGACATCAATAATCAGACAATAATGCATAATGAAATATGACGTTTGTTGTTCGTACAAATTCGGGTACTGAGCCAATTCGAACAGTCATTCGATTCTCAAAAGAATTTTCAATTTATAATAGCCCACTTTCAATCCGCATTCTTAGATTCCAAAGCATATGAAATAGTCATTTTGTGACTACGAATGCAAGTAATACGACATTCTAAATGAGTATTTCATGCTCCACGCACGTAACTGTTCCTCGATTTAATTACAGTTATTGTTGGTGTGGGACTAAATGCCGTTTCTATCCTACATTCCCGAAATAGGGGATAAAAATTTACTGCCAATTTTTAGTTTATTAAATTCTTTTAACATTACTTCGAAGTGTATTGAGATTTTCTTTGAATTGCCATATTCGAGATATTGATTTTATATTCGTTCTCACTGGTGCAATAAAGTCCTTTGGAGAAATGTTTTTATTTGTAAAAAGAGTGTAATAGTTTCAACCATACTGGTTCACATTAAATAAAGTACTATAAATTAACGAAATGTCTTATTTTATTTGGTGTAATCCTCTACAGATACAATTTCATATGAAAAAATTATTCTGGAACAATGAAACACTTAATTTTTTCATTTGGACATGTCTGTGTGACAGCTAACTGATCAGACAAACTTTGGACGCGGAGAACGAACATTGTCCGTATCCAAAGAAAATCTCGAAGATATTATCCGTGTACAACACTGGACCCAAAGAATATAAGTTTAGCGAATATACCTTTTGAACAATTTTTAATTGAAAATAAGGTATTTGATTAATAATTCAAATGTTGTTTATTATTTTTACTGTCTATGACGAGAAATATATTGGCAAATTCTATTTTTATCCCATTCATTTCCATGGTTAGATATACTGAGCAATTTATTTGTCTCAATTTTTTTAGTTGTTAGTCTTTCTTGATCATTCAAATTATCAGTTATTAAATAATCTTACTGAATCAATTTGTATGTATTAAGATTTGAAATAATTTGATTAGAAATTCGGGAATTTTCAATGCTGAAATATTCTTTTTTTCCTCCATTATTTGATCAGTAGGTGATTCCTAGTCTTCTTCCAACTTTATTACTTTTTGGAGTTTAAATGATTGTCTTGTGAGAATGTATTTTCTATTCTTAAAACTCCATCAAAGAACAATTATATAAATAGAGGCTGGTGTAAATTGATCAGGTGAAGTAGTATTACATAAGGGATTTTGATATTGATTATATTCGAGTTTTGAAATGCAGATAAAAGTTTATGTATTAAATTCTACCTAATAACCTTTCGTGTATCTACAGTTCTTTTACCAATTGATCCGCAAGGATCATTAAGATATTCCGATAATAAAATTCCTATTTGATCTCGTTCACTTTTAGCGGCTTTCACTTGTAATTTTAAATTGTTAACATCAATTACATTTCCAATAGTGTTTTGCTTAATAAACTTCACTCCAACATTTCTAAAGCCTCATTAAAAGCAAAGTAATGACCTTTTCTTTTTCATAATCATCAATTTTAATTGATACTGCACATCTAATTTCTCTTCAAGCTTGGATATTGAACAACTGATACCGAGTAATTAGATTTTCCGGCAGAAGAAAATAAACCAGCAAACCATTTTTTTTTTTTTTGATTTCCGACATGATTACTTTGTTTTCACTTCAAAATTTTGTTGAAAAAGTTGAGAATTACATTGTAAGCACCTGTATTTTTATTTCCACATTTTCACATATTCCATAATCTCTATAATCAATATTAGATTCTTTGGTATCAGATTTATCAGAAATAAATTTTCATTTATTTCATTCACTACTTCATTTAAATTATTTATAGTAATATTTTGTTCCACAATTTAATTTAAATATAAATTTAAATGAATGTTTTAAGTAGTAACGTAGTAACGAATGTTTAAAATTTTTTTATAGTATAGTATTATTGATTGTTCAGTGGGTGTCTATTTATTCTAATAAAAATAAATGGATTTGTGATTTTCCATTTAAAATTACATACCATCGAATTTAAAAAGAAAATAAAATTTCATGTCACGAGAATAAATTCCCCTTTCATTTACACGGATGACTATATTAGCTTATAAATAATGGTTTATTGACGTTATGGAGCAATAAAAAATTTATCGTAGAAATAATTATCTTCGCGAAAAAAAAAAGTTTTTAAATATTTTAATTTATTTAACTATAGTAACAATAAAATAAATTTGAAATAAGAATGGAAATAATAAATAACTAATAATATTATATGATATTTACATATAAAAATGTAAATTATTCATTTCATTCATTTTTTTTTAAAAAAAAATAAGTAAAAGTGATTTATTAGTAAAAACAATTAAAGGGTATTAATATTATAATAAAATTATATTCGATACTCACCCTATGGGATTTCTATAAATTCTTCAGTAACTTATAAAATAAAATACAATTAAATGTCAATTAATTAATTAAATTTATTAATATTAAAGCAAAAATAGAATTATATTTAAATATATATATATATATATTGTAAAAGCTTACTTAGATAATCTTTAGTAGTTAACGTATTTGTATTTTTATCATCATTTTCATTAAGATTCTTAGGTTTTGGAAGATTTTTGAAATTAAAACATCTACTAGTGTAGATTGCTGATGGATGTATTTCATATGTTAAACTATTTGTATTACTGTTATCCACTGGATTTATTAAGTTTAATTCTTTAATTTGTTTATACAATTCTGATTCTTCATTTTCGTCTTTTATATTATCATAATAATTATCAAAATCATCCAGCAATTCATTGGCAGTTGGTCTTCGTTCTAATTTTGCATCCCAACATCTTTTCATTATGTCAACTAGTAATTGAGGTACAACAATATTAGATGGAATTTCTGGTCTATATCCATTACATATTTTGAGTGCAAGATCTTTATCATGGGGAATATTGTAGAAAGGAGGAATTCCTGTTAATATTTCAAACAAGATCATTGCAAAACCATATATGTCTGATGCCTTTGAGTAATTATCATGCCCAGATAATACTTCAGGAGCTATATATGGAATTACGCCAAAAACATTTTGTTTACTATCTTTAGAAATTCCGGTTTCATTAGCTGGTTTAGATAAACCTAGATCAGTAATCCAGCATTCATCATGATTATGCAAGAGAATATTTCCAATATGAAAATCTTGGTGAACTAAATTAATCTCATGCATATGATTTAATCCCCATGAAATAAAACGTAAATTATTTAATTTATCTAACCATGATAATTTTGATTTTAAACAATTTCTAAGATTACCACCATCCATAAAACCCATCACAAACATATAATCTTTTGTCTCGGGATCTTGTGTAATACCATAACATGGTACTATTAATGTTTCTGTTGCTCGTTGACATTTTAAATAATTTTTGAACTAAATAAATATAAAAATATATATAAGCAACTAATTTTATAT